CTGCCTTTAGGTGATCTTTGAAAACTCACTTCTTCAGGGAAGCCCACCCCACCTCCACCTAAGAAATGTACTTGATTCACCTCCGCCAGATCATCCCCCGCAGCTATCACCTTTTGTATCACCTCCCCCTTCCTTTAGATTGCAAGCTCCACGAACAAGGCCCTCACATTCCTTCTGTACTGAAAGTATTGTAATTGTACTGTCTCCCTTATATTGTAAAGCGCTGCGCAAACTGTTGGCGCTATATAAATCCTGTATAATAATATTAATGTAGGGATCAGAGGATGGAACCACAGCATACCGCAGGGGACACAGGCATCCACCACCAACAGAACTGGCAAATGCCAAAGCAGCAACTGTAGAACAGAGCTACGGGCCGCCACAGAAGTGGGTATCTTACTTCTTTTCCTGCACAGTTGTGCTAGGATTAGTTAAAGAATGACAGGGTCTCTTTTATTATGTACCCACACTGTGGGCATCTGAGGAGTTGCAAAAAATATACATTCCACAAATGCGAACAAATGAGAACATAGCTGCTATACACAAAGCTCTGCCACTACCTTTAAACTGGGAAAACTCTAACTATTCCTTCTGGCTAATGAATCTATCTTTCATTGCAATAAATAAAAACAAAAACTATATTCACTGTACACCAACATCGCAAATTACACGAAGGGGTCTAGTTATAAGTCATTCGTTGGAGGAATGTCTCAAGCATTTGTCCGGGTTGTGCAAATTTTTTCTTTCATTTTCTCTAACACTATGACTTCCTAAGATCATTGGCACCATCTATTGGCCAAAATGCGGTCAATTTTCTGATTAAGGTATTTTAGAGAAATATACCACATTTTGGACACTAGATGGAGCTGACAATCATAGTAAGCATTACTGAACATACATGGGACATTTGTACAGCCTGGGCAAATGCTTGTGACATTCATCCAACAAATGTTTCAAATACAGACCCCTAAGACTGAATTAAAATATTACCTGGAACTCTAAAAGCCTTACATTGAAAGCATTCCTGGGTAATATATGTTAACCCCACTGCAGACCAGTCCTCTCTATTATAAATAAAATTTCACGTGTCAGAAGATCAGGACTAGTATTGTTACAATTGAAAACAAAAAAAAAAGAATGGTCCCAACTGTGGTAACTTTTGACAAACCGATGAAAAGTTAAGGTGCTCATACACAGACAAAAGGTTTTAACTTTGCTGACAGCAGACTCCTGAGACTGACCATATACAGGCAGATATCTGCAAAATACATTTGAGCGCTACTTGCAACCAATGTGAGGCAGTTGAGCTGCAAATGAGTTAAATAGATTGCAGATTTTGTGAGAAAAGGAAGGAACATTGGGCTGGGTTTGTGCGCAATCCAAAGATCATCATTTTAAAGGTTTGCAAGCCTTTGAAATACCTGCTGTGCTGCAAAAACTGCCCCCAACACCGTATAAAACTAGCACAGCTGACCGCGTAATATTTGTGCTTTATAAAAGATATGCAAATGTAATTGTCAACCTCATTAAATTGTGTGTTAAAAATCCACAATGCGGTGTGGGGGAAATGCATCCTTTGGGGAAAAGCAAAGGGATTGCCTGTTTTTTTAGCATGCCTCAGTCAGTTAAATGGTTAGCTCCCCTTTTCATAGAAAAACAGCAAAGATTGGTCACAAGGTGGTAGAAATGATCGGCTTTTGATCATTACAGATATGGATTAAAAGACAATAGTTGCTGTTGAATAGAGACTGGCAATGACTGGACACTGCACGGCCAGGAAAAGGGTGACTACTTTTGTCTGTTATAAAGCGGTGCTCAGCAGGATTGCATGCAATTCTGCATATAACCCTGATGGAAAATGCATTTAAAGAGAACCAGTCACTTCTGAAATCACTCATTCACCTTGGCACAAGTTACATTTTCTTATATGGTCTGTCTTTGGCTGTCTTCAAGAAGTCTTTCATAGAAAAAAAAAAACACCCGACTCCCTGATGATGGTCTGCCCTGCCCAATTTAAGACCATCCTCCTGCATCACTGCAAGCACAGCAACCCACTCCACCCCTCCCCTACCTGACATCACAGGAGACCCTGTTGCCTTGGCCATTCAGATCAAAACAACAAGGTCTCTTCAAAGCCAGCCCTGTTCTTACCTTCCCAGCATTACCCTAACACTCCTTCTTTCTTTGCAGCAGCTGCAAAATACTGTATATACCGTATACCCCGTAAATAATGTTTTTGGTATGGGGGACTATCTGACTTCCTTCCATGACCGTGCTTGCGTCCTAGCAGCTAATGACTAGGCTACAACGCTGTGAACCCACACCAAAAAAGCTAACAGTGCCACTCCAAGTTCCTCTATCCAAATCCAGTAACTCACACTGTGGGCGATGGCTTTGAAACAGCCTGTCCTGTCTCGATGCAAGCAGTACAGCAAGGAAAGAGACCCCCCCAAATGCCACACACCGGCAAGATCCACCAACCATAGAGTAAAAGCAGCCTCAGCCCAGCACTGTCCAGGCCATGCAACGCGTTTCACACACATACACCCCACCTCCACGGGGCTTAGTCATGGACCATAACTAAGTCCCCTGGGAGGGGTGAAATGCAGTGGTGGAGAGGCCTGGACCGAGCTGGGATGAGGCTGCTTTTACTCTATGACTGTCGGCCCTTGTCGGTGTGCGGCATTTGGGGGTTTCTCTTTCCTAGGCTCCAATACTGTCACAAGAATAACATGACCCCTGAAACCTTAGCCAACACAACATCTGGTATTTTGTGACAGAAGTTACAGAGGAAGGAATGGCAGGGTAGCGAAGTGAAGGTAAAACTGGTTTAGGAGGGTAGGATTTAAAGAGACAATGGAACTTTGCTCTGAATGGGTGAGGTGTCAGGGTCTCTTTAATTCAGAAATGAAGAGAGTGAGCAGTGGCTATAGGTGTTCCATGCATTAAGGCACAAGGTCCACTTATTTGACCCCCCCCCCCCCCCCCACCCTACCTAAGAAATGCTGTAGGAACACAGCATGATGAATAAAATCTTAAAAAAAAATTAAAAATATGCTCATCTTACCCCTCAGTTTCCAGGTGCTTATTGTGGCTTAAATCACTGAGTCTTACAGCAGGATCTTGGAACAGATGCTCCAGCCATGTGTATCCTCAGGATTCCATCTTCAACTGTGTAGTGCAATGGCCGGCCTAATTGGATACAACTGAAAGTGTTGTTTAGGTTTGTCCTCCTATTATATGGTTTTTGGTAAATCTAAAGCAAAAATCTCCAGATAATTGTATAATGTATGGCCAGCCTTATACAATTTTCTTGAGATTTTTGCTTTAGATTAACCAAAAACCATATAATAGGAAGTCAAACCCAAACAACACTTTCAATTGTATCCAATTAGACGGGCCCTTGCACTACAAAGCTGAAGGTACATCTAAAGGAAATTGAGCAGAAAATGAAAAAGAATATTGTAAGAAAATAGTATAGTGTATGGCCAGCCTTAGGCTGACCATACACTATACAATTTTCTGTACAATTTCTGCCCAATTTCTTTTAGATTTACCTTCAACTGTGTAGTGCAAGGGCCCGTCTAATTGGATACAATTGAAATTATCGTTTAGGTTTCACCTCATATTATATGGTTTTTGGTAAATCTAAGCAATTTTCTAAAGAAAATTGTATAATGTATGGCAAGTCTTAGGCTGGCCATACATTATACAATTTTCTTGAAATGTTTGGCTTAGATTTACCAAAAACAATATAATAGGAGGTCAAACCCAAACAACACTTTCAGTTGTATCCAATTAGGCAGGCCCTTGCACTACACAGTTGAAGGTAAATCTAAAGGAAATTGGGCAGAAATTGGACAGAAAATTGTAAGAAAAATTTATAGTGTATGGCCAGCCTAATGCATACATTGTAGAATTTTCTTGACAATTTTGCTTTAGATTTACCAAAAACCATATAATATGAGGTCAAACCCAAACAACACTTTCAATTGTATCCGATTAGGCAGGCTCTTGCACTACGTAATTGAAGGTAAATCTAAAGGAAATTGGGCAGAAATTGGACAGAAAATTGTATGAAAATTGTATAGTGTATGGCCAGCCTAATGCTGGCCATACACTATACAATTTTCTGTCCAATTTCTGCCCAATTTTCTTTAGATTTACCTTCAACTGTGTAGTGCAAGGGCCCACCTAATTGGATACAACTGAAAGTGCTGTTTAGATTTGACCTCATATTATATGGTTTTTGGTAAATCTAAAGCAATTTTCTAAAGAAAATTGTATAGTGTATGGCCAGCCTTACTCTCAATTTTTACTGCTTTCCACCAGCATTATGTAATCGGGGGGGGGGCTGTTAATGCCAACTAAGGCTGGCCATACATTATACAATTTTCCTGAGATTTTTGCATTAGATTTACCAAAAAACATATTATATGAGGTCAAATCTAAACAACACTTTCAATTGTATCTAATTAGGCAGGCTCTTGCACTACATAGTGGAAGGTAAATCTAAAGGAAATTGGGCAGAAAACTGTAAGAAAATTGTATAGTGTATGGCCAGCCTTAGTAAAGGTACTTTAAAAACAGCTGCAATGTTTATCATAAAATGTCAAAGCTTGTTTCAAATTGAATGAATAAGCTATTTTAAAAGTGACAGATCCTCAAACAATATCTTGATGAATATGGTCAAGACAACGGTCTTTTCTTCTAGTGTATGAGCACCTTAACTGGTTTCCTCCCTGCCCCTTCAGACAGCTGCTCTTTATAAGAAATGAGAACGTAGATTTCGTGTCAGGTTGGCTCTCTGCACTATGCTGCCTGTGGTTTAATCTCCTGATCAAACTCTAAACGTTATCCTTGGACCACTTGTGTGATAAGATGGGGGCAGTGATGATGAATGGAGGCTGGATGTAGGACTGTCGTAGTGAGTGTGTAGTATTGTTCATGGATTAGAAGATGGAGAATATTGTGTATATATGGGAGATGAGGACAGCCTCTCAGTTCTCTTGCCCCTCTATGATTCGTTCCCGTCTCTGCTGTGCCTCCAACACCGCTAGTTCTTTTGCTTCTTTCTTCTGATTCCGAGCTTCATACTCCAACCTAAAGGAAGAATTATTTAAGAGCGTTATCATACAGTAAGAAACAGGGGCAGACTGACCATTTGGAAACTCGGGCACTGCCCGAGGGGCCCGGGTCAGTAGGGGGCCCCATGAGATGCCCCTGGCACCTTTTTCATAGGCTTTTTTGAGTTTGGGCAAGGACACAGGGGCCCATGATCCCCTATTGCCCGGGGGCCCCATGAGTTGTCAGTCCGCCCCTGGTAAGAAATGGTCTAATTATTCCAAGTGCACAGAGGTGACTAGCAGTCAGTACAGAGGTTCTCCAAAGCTAGATAAAGCTTAAAGGCTCAAGGTTTTTTACCTTCATGCATGAAGGTATAAAAACCTTCTGTGTGCAGAAGCCCCCCAGCCCCCCCCTAATACTTACCTGAGCTCCATCTCTATCCAGTGATGTGCACAAGAGCAGGGGTTTTCAAACAAAAATGATTTCTTTTTATGAGGAGGGAGACAAAAACCCCTTGGGAGGAGGGGTGGGGGGTGGAACCCTGGTTTTACTTGGGCAGGGGGGGTGGCAAATGGGGCGTGGGTATATTTGGAAAACCCGAGGGGGGTGGCAGTGGGGGTGGGGATTTTTGGGGCGAGGGGTGGTATTTGGGCATTTGGGATACTTGGCAGAGGGTTGGCGGTGGAGTGGTTTAACCTTGGACAAAAAAAGGGGGGGCGGTGGAGTGGGGATACTTTTGGGAAAAGGGGTGGCTTTAAAAGGACATGGTTATACTTTGGGCAGAGGGAGGGGGGGGTGGAAGTGGGTTTTTACTTTTGGGAAAAAGGGCCCGGTGGCGGGGGGACTTTGGTATTTAACCCTTGGGGCGAGGGGGTGTCTAAAGGGGAAGTGGTATATTTTTGGATTTTGCAAAAGTTTTTTGACAAAAGTTCCCCCCACACGGTAATGTGTAAAGGGGAAAGTCTTTCGGGCTTTTGGAAAAAAACTGTTGTAAATGGACGAAAAAAACTAAAAACGTGTATTCGGAGTAGGGGTTAATGATTTTTATTTCTCCCGAATTGGGGTTTTTGGGGTTTTCAAATGGTGTTTCCCCCGGGGGTTTTAGTGTTTGGGGGCCCTTACTACGATTTAGGGTCTGGGATTAAAAAACTAATTTCAGTCTTGGCCCGATGACACCAAACTTTGCCCGTGGGGTAATTAAAGACCTTTTCAGGATGTTCCCCCCAAATTACAAAACCGACCTCAAAGGGATCTTTTAATTGGTCAAATTTTGTGGGAAATGAGGTTTAAGGGTTTATTAAAAAATAAGGTTCTGCCCCCTTGGGGGGGCTAAGAAAATGCATGCATCAATTTCATACTGGGGGGGAAACAATGGTGGGGAAAAGGGTCCGGGGGGGGTTTGGGGAGATACCAAAATTAATTTAAAGGCAGCAATGCCAAAAATGCGGGTTCTAGAAACGAGGGAAAATTTCCTCTCTTGTATTAAAAAAGGTTTTAGACTCCAGAGAGAGAGATATCATTCCCCCGGGGACAAATCTTAGTAAACCTCATCTGGAATTTTCCCGTTCAGTTTTTTAAATACCAATTTCAAAAAAGGAAAAATTGGGGAAATGGAGAAGTAAGGGGGCGGGGAACCCAAACCTGATAAGGGGGGGCATGGGGGGAGCTTAGCTTGGGGAGGGGAAAAAAAATTTTTTTTTTTCTTTTGAGAAGAGAAAGATTTTAAGGGGGCGATTTTGATCAAAATTGGTTTTAAAAAATAAGGGGGGGGATTTGAAAATTTTCCGTATAAACATAAGGGGGGGTATTGGGTCACCATGGATTTAAAACAAAGGGGGGATATGATCTCCAATTTTATAATACATAAGGGGGGGATTTTTTTCTCCGGGTTTTTTTTTTAAAAAAAATAAGGGGGGGATATGTCACCCTGTATAAAATAATGGGGGGTATGAAAACAAACATGTATTTAAAACATAAGGGGGGTTTTGGGTGTCAGTATTTAATAATAAGGGGGGGGTTTTTATGTCCCTGTATAATACATAAGGGGGGATTTATGAAACCCATGTTTTCTACATAAGGGGGTTTTGATCTCCCAGGGATAACATAGGGGGGGGGGTTGAAACTCCATTTTATTCCCCACATAAGGGGGGATTGGGTCTCCCTGTATAAAACTAAAGGGGGGGTATGATGTCCCTGTATTTAAAAAATAAGGGGGGTTGATCTCCTTTTTTAATACATAAAAGGGGGGGTTTTTAATTCCCCCATGTATTTACATTTAAGGGGGGTAAAGATTTTCCAAAGTTTAATTTTTCAAAGGGGGGGGGTATGATCTCCATTTTTAATTTCATAAAGGGGGATTTTGGATTCCATGTATAATACATAAGGGGGGGTTATGATCTCCAAGTTTAATACATAAAGGGGGGGGGTAATGATCTTCCCTGTTAATACATACCCGGGGGGCCATGTTATAAATACATAAGGGTGGATATTGATCACCATGTCACTCATATTTCATAACGGGGGATATGATCTCAATGTATAATTACTAAGGGGGGGGATTTGTTCTAAATGTATTAATTACGCATAAGAGCGAGAATTATGGATCTCTTCCATGTATAATCTCAATAAACGGGTGGGATCTGATCTCCATGTATAATATCATAAGGGGGAGATATGAATTCTCCAATGGTATAGATACTATGAAGTGCGCGGAATATGATCACGCATGGTTTATATATCATAATGGGGGAAATGATCTTTCATGTATAAGTAATATGAAATAATTTTTTTTTTTTTATTTTTTTTAATGTATAATAATAAGGGGGAGATTGTTTGATCCTCCAGTGTATAATACATAAGTGTGGGAGTGATATGGATCTCCATGTATAGTACAATGCTAGCGAGGGATTATTGGGAATCACCATGTATAATAATAAAGGGGGGATATGAGCTCCATGTATAATACATAAGGGTGGGGATAATGTGATCTCCATGTATATAATACATAAAGGGGGGATATGATCTCACATGTATTGTAATACATAAGGGGGGGATTTGATCTCCATGTATAATACATAAGGGGGGATATTTGATCTCAAGTATAATCTACATAAGGGGGATGAATATGAACTCCCATGTATAATACATAAGGGGGATTCACCATGTATAATACCATAAAGGGGGGATAGGATCATCCATGTATTAATAACATAAGGGGGGATATGAGCACCCATGTTATAAACACATTAAGGGGGTGAATGATCTCCATATATAATACCAAAAAGGGGGATATGATCACCATGGTATAATACATAAGGGGGGATATATGATCTCCATGTATAAATACTTAAGGGGGGAGTATGATCACCATGTATAATACATAAGGGGGGATATGATCTCCATGTAATAATTACAAAATAAGGGGGGGATATTGGAATCGTATAATACATAAGGGGGGGATATGATCCTCACTGTATAATACAAAGGGGGGATATGATCTCCATGTATAATACATAAGGGGGGATATGATCTCCATGTATAATACAGTTAATGGGGGATATGATCTCCATGTATAATACATAAGGGGGGATATGATCTCCATGCTATAAATACATAAGGGTAGGGATATGATCTCCATGTATAATACATAAGGGGGGATATGATCACCATGTATAATACATAAGGGGGGATATGATCTCCAGTATATAATACATAAGGGTGGGGGGGGATATGATCTCCATGTATAATACATAAGGGGGATATGATCTCCATGTATAATACATAAGGCGGGGATATGATCACCATGTATAATACATAAGGAAGGGATATGATCTCCATGTATAATACATAAGGGGGGGGGGGATATGATCTCCATGTATATAATACATAAGGGGGATATGATCTCCATGTATAATACATAAGGGGGGATATGATCTCCATGTATAATACATACGGGGGATATGATCTCCATGTATAATACATACGGGGGATATGATCTCCATGTATAATACATAAGGGGGGATATGATCTCCATGTATAATACATAAGGGGGGAAATGATCTCCATGTATAATACATAAGGGGGGGGGATATGATCTCCATGTATAATACATAAGGGGGATATGATCACCATGTATAATACATAAGAGGGGATATGATCTCCATGTATAATACATAAGAGGGGATATGATCTCCATGTATAATACATAAGAGGGGATATGATCTCCATGTATAATACATAAGGGGGCTATGATCTCCATGTATAATACATAAGGGGGCTATGATCTCCATGTATAATACATAAGGGGGGATATGATCACCATGTATAATACATAAGGGAGGATATGATCTCCATGTATAATACATAAGGGGGATATGATCACCATGTATAATACATAAGAGGGGATATGATCTCCATGTATAATACATAAGAGGGGATATGATCTCCATGTATAATACATAAGAGGGGATATGATCTCCATGTATAATACATAAGGGGGCTATGATCTCCATGTATAATACATAAGGGGGCTATGATCTCCATGTATAATACATAAGGGGGGATATGATCTCCATGTATAATACATAAGGGAGGATATGATCTCCATGTATAATACATAAGGGGGGATATGATCTCCATGTATAATACATAAGGGGGGATATGATCTCCATGTATAATACATAAGGGGGGATATGATCTCCATGTATAATACATAAGGGGGGATATGATCTCCATGTATAATACATAAGGGGGATATGATCACCATGTATAATACATAAGAGGGGATATGATCTCCATGTATAATACATAAGAGGGGATATGATCTCCATGTATAATACATAAGGGGGGATATGATCTCCATGTATAATACATAAGAGGGGATATGATCTCCATGTATAATACATAAGGGGGATATGATCACCATGTATAATACATAAGGGGGGATATGATCTCCATGTATAATACATAAGGGGGGATATGATCTCCATGTATAATACATAAGGGGGGATATGATCTCCATGTATAATACATAAGGGGGGATATGATCTCCATGTATAATACATAAGGGGGGATATGATCTCCATGTATAATACATAAGGGGGATATGATCTCCATGTATAATACATAAGGGGGATATGATCTCCATGTATAATACATAAGGGGGGATATAAATGATCTCCATGTATAATACATAAGGGGGATATGATCTCCATGTATAACACATAAGGGAGGATATGATCTCCATGTATAATACATAAGGGGGGATATGATCACCATGTATAATACATAAGGGGGGGGGGGATATGATCTCCATGTATAATACATAAGGGGGATATGATCACCATGTATAATACATAAGGGGGGATATGATCACCATGTATAATACATAAGGGGGGATATGATCTCCATGTATAATACATAAGGGGGATATGATCTCCATGTATAATACATAAGGGGGATATGATCACCATGTATAATACATAAGGGGGGATATGATCACCATGTATAATACATAAGGGGGGATATGATCTCCATGTATAATACATAAGGGGGGATATGATCACCATGTATAATACATAAGGGGGGATATGATCACCATGTATAATACATAAGGGGGGATATGATCACCATGTATAATACATAAGGGGGGATATGATCTCCATGTATAATACATAAGGGGGATATGATCTCCATGTATAATACATAAGGGGGATATGATCACCATGTATAATACATAAGGGGGATATGATCACCATGTATAATACATAAGGGGGGATATGATCTCCATGTATAATACATAAGGGGGGATATGATCACCATGTATAATACATAAGGGGGGATATGATCTCCATGTATAATACATAAGGGGGGATATGATCTCCATGTATAATACATAAGGGGGCATATGATCGCCATGTATAATACATAAGGGGGGATATGATCGCCATGTATAATACATAAGGGGGGATATGATCTCCATGTATAATACATAAGGGGGGATATGATCTCCATGTATAAATACATCAGTGGGTCATATAGTGAACTCGGTGTAGAGCTATTCACCCTGAGGTCATCACAGAGGACAAGGGGGCGCTCTTTACGTCTGGAGGAAAAGAAATGTAATCTCCAAACACGGAAAGGTTTCTTCACAGTAAGAGCTGTGAAAATGTGGAATAGACTCCCTCAAGAGTAGGTTCTGGCCAGCTCAGTGGATTGCTTTAAAAAAAGTCCTGGATTCTTTCTTGGATACACAGAATATAACTGGATATAACATTTATAGGTAAAGTTGATCCAGGGAATATCCGATTGCCTCTCGGGGGATCAGGAAGGAATTTTTTTCCCCTGCAGGAGCAAATTGGATCATGCTTTGCTGGTTTTTTTTGCCTTCCTCTGGATCAACTGTGGGTGTAGGATTATAACTTTTTTTTTTCTTTTTTAATGGTTGAACTGGATGGACTTTTGTCTCTTTTCAGCCAGTCTAACTGTGTAACCCCCCCTCCCCCCCCCGCAACCTCTGAAGTAACCCTGTTTTTGTAAAAGGCTGCTCTTAAAATTATGTGTATGCTGGGGCATTATTGATTCCACAAACTCAGTAATTTGGAAGACGTCAACAAACCTTTGATTATATTGAATTTAAAAATATATTTATCATTCAAACACTCACATGCACTACAGTACAGACCTGTTTTTGATAATCCTCTGTACAATGTCATCAGTTGTCAGGTTGTTTCCGCTGTCCACTGTTCGGAATATACTGCGGCGTTTGGGCTCCTGAAATATAACAAATTGATTATGATCTAATATAAAGCAGGAACAAGTAGCTGCCGAAATCGCTAAACGTAATTAACTATCAATTACAATGTCCTTTGAAAAAAAGAGCAAACTGCAAATTAGCCACTGATGTTTAACCATTTCAATACCGGGCAATTTTCCCCCTTCCTGCCCAGGCCATTTTTCAGGTTTCAGCGCTCTCACACTTTGAATGACAATTGCGCGGTCATACAACACTGTACCCAAACTAAAATTTTATCATTTTCTTCACACAACTAGAGCTTTCTTTTGGTGGTAATTAATCATCTCTGGGGGTTTTATTTTTTGCTAAATTAACAAAAAAGACCGAAAATTTTGAAAAAAAAAACCACGTTTTTCTTTGTTTCTGTTATAAGAGTTTGCAAATAAATAATTGTTCTTCATAAATTTAGGCCGAGATGTATTCTGCTACATTTTTTTGGTGAAAATAACACAAATTAGGATGTATTTTTTTAGTTTGTAGGAAAGTTATAGAGTTCACAAACTATGGTATAGATCTGAATATTGATCAATCCTGAAGTACTGACAGCCAATCTAATTTCTTGAGGTCCAAGAATGTCAGAACAGTACAGATATCCCCCAAATGACCCCTTTTTGCAGAGTAGACAGTCCGACGTACTTCATAAGAGGAATGGCGAGTTTTTTGAAGTTGTATTTTTTTGTCATAATTTTTCGGAAAATGAAAAAATAACAAAAAATTATTTTCACTATTTTTTTTTTTACATACTGTCACCAGTGCAGTACAGCGTCATCATATAACTGGCATGGCGGTGATCAGGGACACTGACTGGTGACAGCGTGAAAAAAAAAAATTTTTTTTAAATTTTTTTTTATTTAAAATTTTTTATTACATTTTTTTCTTTTTTTTAAGATTTTTTTTTCTAATTTCACTATGTCCAAAGTAGTACAATGTTACCATAGTAACATTGTACTACTTTGGGGAAGTGATCAGTATTTTTTTTTTTTTTTTTTTTTTTTACACAATTTGCTTATAGCAAAGAATTACTTTGCTATAAGCAAGCATTTACCTGAATGACATCGATTCATTCAGCTTTTTTTTTTTGTGCTTAGCTGTGATTTGGCCACAGCTAATCACATGACATGTGCATGTGATTAGCTGTGACCATTCACAGCTAGTCACTAGTATACAATGGATGGCATGAATGAAGCCATCCATTGTATACAACTGTCATGTGATTGGTCACAGCAGGTCACATGGTACCGACAACAGGGGCCGATACTCAGATCTGTCATCGGCCGTGTCCGAGGTACACGGCCGGTGACAGATCGCGCCGCTGCGCGGCTCTGCAAGCGTGCAAACTGCGCATGTGCGGGAGGATGCCATATGGCGGCCTCCCGGAAAGGTAATACATTTTTGCGGACGCCATTTGGCCATAGGCCAGGCGTCAAATGGTTAAATGTGTCTGTGCCCTCCTTACACTATGCTACCAGTACAGGTCACCTAGCAGAAAAGCTCATCAAAAGGTCCTCATTTTTATCAATTTCCGTGCACGCATTTGGTCAAACATTGTAAAACCATGGACAATCAATTTTGGTTTTCAGATAAAGTGTTGCTATTTTTTTGGAAACTGCAATGTGGCCAACCATGTAATAACAATTTCGAGGGTACGCCTTTAAGGATAAGATTTTTATCTAAGATATGAAATGTCTGATCTAGACACGGACATATTACAAACACATCAAGCAAATAAACAACCATCCAGACAGCCCACAGGGGGGAAAAAAAGGAAAAACAAAATGAAGGTTTATAAACAAAAACTAGACGTGATGTCTAAATTATTGCTGCCCTAGGCTACACATTTAAAAAGCGAATGCAGTAAATAAGATGCAATGGGGGGGGGGGCAGAGATAGGAAAGAAACAAAATATGTATTATGAACCTTTTATCATTTATTATTACAGTACTGCTGAGCAGATGTGTCCAAGCGGGGAGCGGAATTTACTATACTGCCCTTCCTTCAATCTCAGAATACTTAACAAGCACTGCCGCCTCTCCCTTTGGACATAAATGACCACCACCCTACCAGGCACCATTGTGCGAGAAGACAACTGTGACCAATGCTGTTGGCTTAAATCGCCTTATTATTACAAGGGAGGCTTAAATATGTTTCAGAACTTTCGAAACACTGCAAAGGGTATAAGGTATGAATGACAGGCAATCATACCATTTGAAACATTGTGGTAGCTGGCACCAAGCTCTCAGTAGCAGATCCTTTAAGTCCTCTAAGTTAAGAAGTGGGGCCTCCATGGATCGGACTTGTTTTTTTCCCGTATCATCCTGTATCTCACAGATGTTTTATTGGATTGAGAACTGTAGAATTTGTAGGCTAAGTCCACACCTCATATTTGGTGTTGTGTTCCTCAAACCTTTCTTGGATTCATCAGACCAGGCCACCTTCTTCCATTGCTCCGTGGTCTTGTTCTGATGCCATTGTAGGGGTTTCTGGCTGTGGGCACAGGTCAGCATGAGCACCCTGTATCTATGCAGCACTATGGGTAGCTCAGAGAAGCTTGCTTTGCAGCTCCCTTTGAAGTAATTGTAAAGGGATTAGATGATTGTAATACATGTCATACTTAGCTGTTCTGTGCAATGGTTTTGCAAAGCAGCCCTGATCGTCCTCTTCTGGGACCCCCCGCCAATTGTCCACCGAAGTAAGCCGCTTGCTATTGGGGCACTTGTGTGGGCTTGCTCCTGAGCTGGCTCTGTGTGTCTATAAGACACACAGAGTATGGTTTGGCCCCGCCTCCAACTCCCTCCTCACTGGCTGTGGTTGACAGTAGCGGGAGCCAATGGTTCCTGCTACTGTTTCTGAGTCAATGCAGAGGAAGAGAGCCAAGAGAGCCTCTGCTCTCACGCACATCGCTGGGTCTAGATTGGGCTCAGGAGATTACAAGAGGGGCTAGGGGGCAGCATGTTTTTATGGGCCCCCAGGCGGGTTGTGCCATAATGTGCTAGTATGCACCGCATATCAGCACATTATGACAGACTTACCTGCCAAACGGAGCCCCCCAGGCTGTGCTGTGAAAGACCCGGCGTGTCCCAGGCTCTTCTATCTTCACCCAGTCTTCCTTCCGGGTTCTGTGCCTACAGCCGCTTGAATGGCCGGGCCGCAATGATGTCACTCCTGCGCACGCATCGCAGCAGCACACAGTAAATGTTCACTGAGCTTCAGCTGACAGGCAGGAGGAAGCATTTATGACAGAAGAGACCGATAGAGTCTCTTCTGTCATAAATATCTTGTCTGGGAGCAATTATTTAAAGAGAAAGTTTAGGCTCTCTGATAAATCGGAGTCAATGGTTCATTTAAGCTCTGCAAACAGCAAGCTTCTATCAGCACAGCTTAAAAACTAATTATAGTAATTATTTGAAAGGGAGACTAGAGCCTTATCTACCGGCAGGTTAGAAACCTACATAATACTCAAACAATATTTCCCTCACTATACAGTGCCTTGAAAAAGTATTCATACCCCTTGAAATTTTCCACATTCTGTCATGTTACAACCAAAAACGTAAAATATATTTTATTGGGATTTTATGTGATAGACCAACACAAAGTGGCACATAATTGTGAAGTGGAAGGAAAATGATAAATGGTTTTCAAAATTTTTTACAAATAAATATCTCTAAAGTGTGGCGTGCATTTGTATTCAGCTCCCTTTACTCAGATACCTCTAACTAAAATATAGTGGAACAAATTGACTTCAGAAATCACCTAATTATAAAATAGAGTTCACCTGTGTGTAATTTAATCTCAGTATAAATACAGCTGTTCTGTGAAGATCTCAGAGGTTTGTTAGAGAACATTAGTGAACAAACACCATCATGAAGGCCAATGAACACACCAGACAGGTCAGGGATAAAGTTGTGGATAAGTAATAAATATAAATAAATATCTCAAGCAATAAATATCTCACGGAGCACTGTTCAATTCATCATCTGAAAATGGAAAGAGTATGGCACAACTGAAAACCTACCAAGACATGGCCGTCCACCTAAACTGACAGGCCGGGCAAGGAATGAATACAAATGCAAGCTGCACTTTTTAGATATTTATTTGTAAAAACGTTTGATAACCACTTATTTCCCTTCCACTTCACAATTATGTGCCACTTTGTGTTGGTCTATCACATAAAATCCCAATAAAATACATTTACATTTTTGGTTGGAACATGACAAAATGTGGAGAATTTCAAGGGGTATGAATACTTTTGCAAGGCACTGTAAATGGGGCCAAAGGCAGCACAACATCTTTTAGGTTGGCTAGAACATGTTTAGTAGAACCAAGAAAGTTATAAGCTTGCTATTAATATGGGACTTAAAAAACCCCCAAAACTCCAGGTATTAATATATATATATATATATATATATATACACACACACACACATATACACACGCGCGCGCGCGCAGTGGGCAAAATAATTATTTGATCCCCTGCAGATTTTGTTTGCCCAATTACAAAGAAATTACGAAGAAATGAAGGGTCTATAATTTTTATCATAGGTGTATTTTAAATGATATATACAGAGTGTCAACCAAAAATCCAGAAAAAAACACGATACAAATGTTATAAATTGAATTGTAGTTCAGTGAGTAAAGTAAGTATTTGATCCCCTATCAACCAACAATAATTCTGGCTCCCACAGACTGGCTATGAGCTCATGTGGTAGACAGATTAGTCCTGTCAGTTTAAGAAGGTGCTCCTTACGAACACTTGTTATGTGTATAAAAACACAGCTGACCGCAGAATCTCTTTCTTCAATTCAAATCTCACCATCACCATGGGCAAGACCAAAGAGCTGTCAAAGGACGTCAGGGAAAAGATTATAGACCTGCACAAGGCTGGAATGAGCTACCAATAGCAAGAAAGTTGGTGAGAAGGAGACAACTGTTGGAGCGATTATTCGTAAATGTAAGAAATACAAAATATCCATCAATCCCCCTTGGACTGGAGCTCCATGCAAGATTTCGCCTCATGGAGTAAGATTGATCATGAGAAATGTGAGTGTTCAGCCCAGAACTACACGGGAGGAGCTTGTAAATGATCTTAAGGCAGTTGGGACCACAGCCACCAAACATGATACACTACCATGGATTGAAATCCTGCAGCGCCCTCCTCAAGAAGGCACATGTACAGGCCCGTCTGAAGTTTGCCAATGAACATTTCAGAGCAGGATTGGGAGAAAGTGCTGTAGTCAGATGACACCAAAATTGAGCTCTTTGGCATTAACTGGATTCAACGTGTTTGGAGGAAGGAAAATGCTGACTATGACCCTAAGAACACCATCCCTACAGTCAAGCATGGATGTGGAAGCATTCTGCTTTGTGGCTGTTTCTCTGCTAAAGGTACAGGCTGACTTTGCCACATTCAGGGGCCAATGGACGGGGCCATGTATTGCAAAATCTTGGATGAGAACCTTCTTCCCTCAGCCAGAACACTGCAGATGGGTCGTAGATGGGTCTTCCAGCAGGACAATGACCCAAAATATACCGCCAAGGCAACAAAGGAGGGGCTCAAGAAGAAGCACATTAAGGTCATGGAATGGCCTAGCCAGTTTCCAGACCTTAATCCTATAGAAAATTTATGGAGGGAGATGAAACTCTGAGTCGTCAAGCGACAGCCAATATACCTTAAGGATTTAAAGAAGATCTGTAAAGAAGAGTGGACCAAAATCCCTCCTGAGATGTGTGCAAACCTGGTAACCAACTACAAGAAACCTCTTACCTCTGTGCTTGCCAGCAAGGGTTTCTCTACCAAGTACGAAGTCATATTTTGCTTGGGGATCAAATACTTATTGTACTCCCTGAATGGCAACTCAATTCATAACATTTGTATTGTGTTTTTTTTTTTTAATTTTTGATTGATATTCTATCTCTATCATTTAAAATACAGCTATGATAAAAATTATAGACCCTTCATTTCTTTGTAAGTGGGCAAACCTACAAAATCTGCAGGGGATCAGATAATTTTCCCCATTGTATAATAAAAAATGTTTATTTCTGTTACAGGATTAATCTTATTTTAATAGCCATATTTTACTAACTTGAAAAAACAAAAATAAAAACTTAAAAAACAGGAAAAACGCTACACTAGGAAATCCATTGTATAGTTCATGGCAATCCACATAACTATGCAAACAGAGTTTTATGCAAGTTAAATCTTATATCGTTCTGATGCAATGTCCCCAAGTAAATGTCTGGAGCAGGGGTAGCCAACCTCTGTACTCCAGATGTGGTGAAACTACAAATCCCATAATGCTTTTGCCTTTGGCAGTCATTCCTGTGGCTGTCAAGAGTCTTAAGCTGGAAGGCAGGAAGTGGCTGGATTTCAATCCATTTATGGGCAGGCTGGTTGTACTGAAGTCGATCCATCGTGCGAGTAATCGTATTCTGACAGCTGGGAAAACCTCTGCTGTCAGAATACAATAGCGCAGCAGGAGGGATTCCTCCATCAACAGAGAGGTGTTGATGGGGGAAGCAAGCTATTTTCTTTCCTTCAACCTGCGGTTGATGTAAAGAAAACTGCATAATCTATGGCTTGCCTTACAATGCCTCATGGCCACAACAGATGGAGGAGTACTGAGGGTTGCCTATCCCTTATCTATAGAAATCTGCTTTACAGAATGTCTCAAAAGCCTGGAACATAAGGAAATGTAAAGTCACTGGGCAAATTTACTGTAATGGCACTTGGTAAATTAGTTCAAAAATAGACAAGTTCAACAAAGAAAGAAAACAGACTCCCATCTGTTATACACAATATACATTTATATGGCTAAAATCTGGGACTTTGTTCTAAAGAAAAACTTCAGTTTTGTTTATCGGAAGAGAGCTGATGTCTGAGTACATATCCCAAGTGTGTCTGTCTCTCCTCGCAATGGCATTTACAGTTCAGTAGTAAAAATATCTGCTGTATAGTTCAGCCGCAGATGTAGTCAGACTCATATAAGTGGAATGTCATAAGCTGCCATTGGCAAATTCATTCACGCTGTATGAACTGCAATTAGCAGATGAAAACACTTAACCATACGTGATCATAGATTATGAGTCTCGCTAGCTTTGAATGATCTATTATTAATCCTCTTGTTATATGGGAGAGACAAATAGAGATCAACCTAATGCACAAATCCTTTCTATAAGACATAGTTCCTCACATATTGTTTTTTTTGTAAGCTCCTTGGTATAGTTCATACACCTTAGCCCTGATCCCCCGGGGCGCAAGACTCATGACAGGGATTGGAGAATTTGTGGTTCAGCCAGCCAAAACCAGGTGGACCCCATTCTTCAGGGGACCTGTAGAAAAAATGGTCTACTCAAGAACTAGAAAGGGCTCTCCTGAAGGGAAACCCCATGGAAGTGGTAGAACCTGACCATAAGGAAATAAGCCCTCTCCCCAAGTCTTACAGAGCAAGCCTAAAGGATCTACACCCTACTATTTGGAATGAAGTTAAAGCGCAAAATGCAAAAATAAATAAGTGCTGTGGGGGTGCCAAAGTGAAAGACCAATGGCTGGCCTTCCAGCTAGTACAACAATTCCTCTAGTCCCAGCAAAAAGACCCAGTCCTCTTGCATGTGAAATAAAAGCATGCAAGAGGTGCTATGACCAAGGTGCCGTACTAACAACGTAGTGAGTTGCCCCACCGTAAATATTTCTGGCACCCCTGGACTGCCACTCCAGGGGCACAAGCACCGTGAAATTTTCTCGACCTAGTTCCTCACACACAAAGACTGAAGACATTCAATATGCCAGAGATTGTCAGAGCTCTGTACGATTAGACAACCATCAGTATATTCCCAACTCCTGTTCCTTGGATGTTTAAAATTGCATGTTCAAAAGACAAAATTTTAATTTATATGTCCTTCAGTTGCCAAGTTGTGCTTTTGGAAGCAACAGAAATTGCCATTTGCCCACACTGATCTTCTTGTGCTGGAACAAACTAGATCTTCCTTACAGTTCTCTACATGACTTTATCAATCCGTTCAGGCCTGCATGAACACCATTTATAATGTCACCGGTTTTTGTTTGAGAAAGTTTACATAGCGTGATGAAATACAGTACGTATGCAGGGCTGCCTTCCCACACTAGAACCCTTTTGGTTGCCTCCATGTCTGAATTAATGAGGAGTTTTAAATGATCACTGGACCATCTGATGGTGATTTTCATTTTTCTCAGCAGCTCAACTTGGCAAATGATAGAGGTACTTTTTAGTCCGGTCTTTTAAACATGAAATTTTTAACTTCCAAGGAACTCCTATTGGAAGGATCTGTACATTATGTTGATATTTATTTTTTATTGTCGTATCAAAAGAGGACTGTCTACTAATATGCTATTCAAAGCTGTTGAGACTCTCTTTCTACGACCACATAGGATTAAATGTTTTCATCTGCTAATTGCAGTTTATTATTACCAACTCATATGCAGTGTGATCATTATATGTGAAAGAATTTGCCAACAGCAGCTTATAACATTCCACTGATACTGTACTACATATGTATGAATAGCAATTTATATGCCAGATATTTTCTACTACTTAATTGTAATTGCTATATCAAGGACAGACAGACACACTTGGATACAGATATCTGAAGTTTTTGTTCAGACCAACGTCTCAACTTCATTATGTCAGACTAGGGATGTCAGTGATATAAACTTATATGGCGTACAACAGATGAGGATGTTTTCATTTGTTGCTGTATTGTCATGCCCGGTGACAACTGCTAATGATTCAGGTTTTTGGTACATTCTATAAAGAAGAACTCTGATACTTCTTATTGCTAGAGGACATTAAAATAAGAAAGGTATTCAAGATAACTTGGATATAACTATTTGCAAGCTTATGTAAGTTACTGTGTAATTTTCCTAGTGTGGCTTTTTTCCTCTTTTTAATGGGTTTTTTATGTGGTGGTCATGTTGGGCTATTAGCATATTTTTGTAACAAATAACAAAATTACTGTGTATGTATACATGTACATACAGTGGTACCTCGGTTTATGAATTTAATGCATTCTCCGGGATGTTTCGTATTGCAAAAAATTCGAAAACCAAAATGCGGTTTCCCACAGGAATGCATTGAAAAACACCTCCTCGATGCCACTGAGTCCAGCATGCACAGGGGCGGCGCTATAAACCTCCCAGGCGCAATGCATCCTGGGGAAACTTGCTTTGTATTGCAAAAACAAATTTGTGAACCGAGGCATTATTTTCAATGGATTTTCATTCGTAAACCAAAAATCACGTTAACCGAGGTGTTCGTAAACCGAGGTACCACTGTATATATTTTTATTTTTAATATTATATGTGAAGACAGGGTATCCTGTAAATTCGGGGTCTCCAAAGTTTTTAAACAAGGGCCAGTTTACTGTTCCTTAGACTTTTGGGAGGCTGAAATGTGGCCAAGGGTGAGTAAACAATGCCTCAAACTTGGTGGTTAATGGTAGGAATTCTCCATTCCCCTTCTTTGTTGTCAGTGGAAGGAACGGTGCTTCATTGTTGTTATCAGTGCGAAGAATAGTGCCATGTATCAATGGAAGGAATAGTGCTTTGTATCAGTGTGAGGAATAGTGTGCCATGGGATGCATAATGGCAAGCAAAGGGCCACATTTGGCCTGTGGGCCCCAGTTTGGAGACCACGGCTGTATTTAGCTATGATAATGTTTTGAAAAAGCATTAGGCACTCATGAGACAAAAGTCTTTACCTCTCTTTCATATATACACTATATATATGTTTTTATTTATGTCTGTTTTTTACAGTTCAAGGGACCCCCCTCCCCTCCGATTTCCTAACCTGGTGTCAATGGGCAGTAGAAAGGAGAAGTGAAGGAAAGTTCCCTATAGATATAGAGAAGGCCTATATATGATCAGAACACGGATTCATTTATGGATAAAGACAGGCTTAGACACACTTACTGCATAGGGATCAGATCCATCCCTGTCTGGGAGAACCTCTGTCTTTCCATGACAAACCAGGTCCACCTGTAATCAGAAATAAATTATTAGATGGCTGTATAACTAAATAAAAAAGCAGCTTTACTTTTGCCCATCCTGTGTTCTTTTTTTAATGTAATAATTTTTTATTGAAGAAAAAAGGGAAGTACAACGGTCGATGCAGATTAACTACATTCCATTGATGCAAAGAAGACAATACATATTCTACAAATAAAATAGCTGCAAACATGCTAACTGACATGTAACAAAGTGCTCTGAAACAACATTCTTTATGTTGTTGAGAATATAAAGATGCAAAGGGGTTTATTTACTAAAGCTGGAGAGTCCAAAATCAGACTCCCTTCTGCATAGAAACCAATCAGCTTCCAGGTTTCATTGCCAAAGCTTCATTGAACAAGCTGAGGTTAGAAGCTGATTGGTTTCTATGCAGAAGGGAGTCTGATTTTGGACTCTCCAGCTTTAGTAAATAAACCCCAAAGTGTCTGCATGAATACCCAGTATCTGGTATTGGTTCAAAGAGTTCTGAAAACCTAAAATAATGAAAAGAAGAAAGAGGACAAAAAGGAGGAGAGAAAAGGGACAAGGAATTTAGTGGAGGGCAGAAGAGGTTGAGCTGGTGGTCCGAGTCACTTGACTCATAGACTTGGTAGTTTCCTCTATCCTGTGACTTGAAGTTGGCAACCAGGTCATCTGTCATATGGAGTATGCTCATTCAAAACATTCAAGAAAATACATAAAAAACATTCTTATATCCAAATCTATTTCTGGATGACCATGATTTACCTTGAAATGATCCAATAGGTCGGAAGTGACAGAATATGGTGCACCAATGACAACTTCTGAAACGTACTGCCCCAGAAAAAAAGAAAAAACAGTGTAAGATAACATGTTAAAATCAGAAGGCACTAATACTGAGATGGATACCATGGACAAAAAGAAGACAATGGCTAATATATGTGTAAGTATTAGGTCCACATTAACAATACCGCACCTTGTGGACAAGTGTCTATCATAATCCACTGGATTGCTTGTGCACTCTACACCAGCTTTTCTCAACCAGGTTTCTGTGAAGGGTTGTTTGGGGTTCCCTTGAGCTGTGAACAATTTCTGTCTCTCAGTAACCACTAACATCAGTGATATTTTTAGCTGTCTGTAGGGGGGCAGTAGTCCAACAGATCAACAATGTAAAGGGGTCCTTCTCCCACTGGCCACCAATATAATGGACCAAACACTGATCACCAAGAAGGCACTTATCCAGTGGCCACCTATATAAGGGGACAGTTCTCTACCAAACACCAATGAAAAAGGTCACTACAATTTGATTGTGTTGAATTTTGGGACCATTATTATTATTTATTTTTATTTCATGATCATTACTGAAAAAGGTTTTGCTGGGTGGATGTTAAATAAAAGTATGTGCTTTGGGGACCAAAAAAAAAAATAAGAATGTGGCATACGTAGTGTTTCTATTATTATATCTACAGAATCTACCCAGAATTGTAGATATAATTATTCATCAAGGGTTCCCCATAGCCTAAATATGATTTCAAGGGTTCCCTCGTGTTAAAAAGGTTGGGAATGGTTGCCCGAGACAGAGGAATTGAAGTTTGTTATAAAGACTGAACGTTTTTTTTACCTCAATGCATTCTATGCATTAAGGTAAAAGAGTGCAACTCTCCTTCCAGTTTCCCCTTATACATACTTGAGCCCGATCTTGATCCAGCGCTGTGCACAAGAGCATTGGCTTCCTCCGCTCTCTTCTTCTTCATAGGCTCAGAGACAGCAGCAGGAGCCATTGGCCCAGCTGCTGTCAATCACAGCCAGTGAGGAGGAGGCAGGGCATGGGGCCGAGCCAAGCTTAACAGAGCCAGCTTGAATGTGACTGCTCACAAGTTCTCCTTTAGTAAGTGGCTTGCTATGGTGGGCACTCGGAGGGGTGGAAGAACCAGGAGTGCTGGCGAGGGACCCGAGAAGAGAAGGATCAGGGCTGTTTTGTGCAAAACTATTGCTCAGAGCAGAAAGTATGACATATTTGTTATTTTAAAAAAAAAATGGGTCTAAAATCACTTTAACCTTTGGCAAAACTGGAGGTTGACATTGCCCAAGGCTAAGTGCCACCCTGCCATTCAACAGTGGAATGACCAATAAAGGCCCTATGCACAGTTAAAGAACCACTAAAGAGAAAAATATTGTATCCCAGTAGCTGTACCTGGTTAATACCTCTAAAGGTGATATTCAGTATATCAATTTCCTTTTTTTATTGGGTATGCTTTAATTTATATTCTTCTTAATTTATATGCTGGTCAAGCTGTTCAGCAAAATTGAAAGGTACAGGGGTCGTAAAAAAAATAACACTACTGGAGGTGCTTAATATGATCTGCTTATATCTATATATATATATATATATCTATATATATATATATATATATATATATATATATAGTTTAAACATTTTTCCAAAAGAAAAAAAAAACAGTTGCTGTAACTGCCTAAAAGGTGGTAACTAAAGTCAGGATTTAATTTGTTTATAAATTACTTAGGCCTCGTTCACACCATGCATACAGAAAACCTGATGGATGCACAGATTTCACTTTCAGAGACATCAGTTTACATCAGTTTTCATTCGCACTTCAATGAGTTTTTATACATGTTACGGATTCCTGCGCAGAAAAAAAATGCATAGAATACCAGTGTTGTGGTGTGAACAGGGCACGTAAAGAACAAATGATTTAGTTGTGCCCTTGCAAAACGCATGTAGAAAAACTTACGTCCATGCACCATGGTGTAAACGAGCCCTAAATGTCCTTCGAAAACTATATGTCTATTTAAAACCTGTCCACAGGGTGACAACACTGCGGTGTGATTTCAGTGCAGAACACACAGCATTGTTATTCTATTATAGATAGAAGCAGCCTTTAAAAGCTGGCAATCCCAACTAGAAAGAACAAATGGAAACCAAGAAGCTTGACACTCACCCTGCAGGCCAGGACACTGAGCGTCCTCTCATGTATGTTCATGATGGGGTAATTCTTCCTCTTGTACAGGTTGACTTCCTGCAAACAGACAGGGACACAAGGGAGTGAGAAGCACTACAAATTTAGTGTGAAAGTCCCAGTTGACTTATTCAACTAACCTGATCGAAATGCAAGCCCACAATGACGTACGGCTTGGAAGCCAAACTGTGAACCTTCTCTAGGAAGTCTATATGGCCAATATCTGCAGCAAATTGTTAAAGGAGTTTTGTGGGCAAAGAAAGAAAAAAAAAAAAAACATTCCCAGGAAATTGGTCAAGGGTACCTTTATGCCTGGAGAAGTGTACTACATTTGTATCTATTTTATCATAGTTTAGGTAGCTCTGAAAAATCCCTGTCTTCTCACCCCTTAGCCACACAGAGGGAAGCCATAATCTGCTCTAGGATTGTATGCAGCCCGTTCATTCTGGTTTCATGTCTTGTCCCCATCACTATACTTTCAATATTACTGTTCACTTGTTTTCTTTTTAAAGCAGACCATCCACTTCTTAAAGCTACCCCCTCAAAACACTGGATAAAAAATAAAAAGGCAAAATAAATCCTGTAGAATGTTGAATAGCCCAGATCTTGCGAAAAATACCATCCTGCACTGGGTTGTGGTGTCTTCTTGTGAGATTTAGGCTACTCAGTATTCTCAGGGATCTTGTTGTCAGGAGGATGATGTTATGCCCTGCAATACAGAAGTCAGAGAAAGGTAAGCATATTTTTTAACTATTCCCCCTTACCCCCATGTATTAAAGCAGATCTTCACCCAATTAAAATATTTTTCACACCTGTTTTCTCCCTCCTACCTCTTAGACAATGTTATGACAAAGGAGGATTTCCCTTTGAAACGCGTTACCACCCCCTACGCCGCCAACCTCTCTCATGCACACACAGGAATCACCAGGAGGCTGACTACAGCTTTCCAGGATGCTGAGCTTCAGCCAATCCTTGACAGCTGTCAGATCAAACACATCCTCTCCCTGCTGGCATGAGAGGAACTTTGTGTGTAGCTTCACTCCATCTGCTGATGATGTCTCTGTGCTTCTCCTGTACTGGACACCTGTGTTTTAACATGTAAGTGTTCTATGGTTTTATTTCCAAGAAATGTGTATATATGCTGATGGAGGTTTTGCGCTGTTGCCACTTTTATCTTTGCGTTTCCCTTAATCTTCCCGGATCTATGCTGACAGCTGCATGATTTTTCATCGCATGACCACGTATCCTGATCTACTCATCAAAAAGATTTCATTGGAGAGTTGGAAGCTTGCAGTGCGCTGGATTGGTTTGTTTGCTTCACCTTTTAAATCTCAAAACTGGATGGAAAGAACTACAAATCCTTCAGCAAGTATAATAGCCCTATTTCATTTTTGTGTTCTTCTGTTTGCTTCGCATTCAACTTTAAAGTCTGGTAGGACAAGGCCTTGTGGGTAACAAGCAGAGAAACTGTCAAAAACACAGTTAGCATTCATCGTAAAAGGATACGGAAAAGATCGAAGGCTCCAGCGACGTATATTATTGTATCTCCGGGTTCAGGTTCTTTCCCTGAAGCAAATTGCATAATCTTCTGAGATGTCTGAAGGAACTGAGAAACCCCTGTCCATGGGCTGCGACCTCTGGCATCCTGTATAAGACAACATACAATATGTATATATAAGAAAGTGTGGCGCTAAAACCAAATTCAGCAATATAATAAACATAAAAGTCCAATCCAAAAGGCTTGATGCATGTAAGAAAAAAGGTCCCTCTGAAAAGGATCCACGGCAGTCATATAGATTTCCCAGAAACCAGCAAAAGGAAAAAAGGAAGAACTCCTTCACCAACACCGATCATACTGCCTCTTACCGGATAATAATGACCACCAATTAAGGAAAGGACTAAATATGCTGTGTGATCCCCAGGAGCAAGCCGTCAGCTTGTGAGCTCTTTAGATCTGGATCTCCAACCTAAAATGACTCTGGGATGAGTTGGAGCGTATGACGTCATCGCACACTAGAATGTGGCGGCCATCTTACCGGTTGGAAACGAACCACCAGTGGATATGGTGACATGCTATTTTTTATGATTCATGATGTTCAGCCCAGAGTCATTTAGAACTCAAAAGCTTACGGCTTGCTCCTAGAGATCACACAGCGTATTTTGACCTTTCCTTAATTGGGGGTCATTATTATCCGGTAAGAGGCAGTCTGATCGGTGTTGGTGAAGGATTTCTTCCTTTTTTCCTTATGCTGGTTTCTGGGAAATCTATATGACTGCTGTGGATCCTTGTCAGAGGGACCTTTTTTCTTACATGTTTCAAGCCTTTTGGATTGGACATTTATGTTTATCATATTGCTGAATTTGGTTTTAGTTCCGCACTTTCATATATATATATATATATATATATATATATATATATATATATATATATATATATATATGTTGCTTGTATTGTAACCTGTAATATTGTGGTGGCTGCTTATGTGGGTTTTTTTCCCCTTTACCTCTTTTTAGACCACAGCGCGAATTTTAATCCAATTTTAAAAAAAAATATGCAATATGTGTCTGTGGGGATTTCAGAATGCAGACCAAGAAAGAATCACAGCCAATCAGCTTCTAATTTTAGCTGGTTCAATTAAGCTTTGACAATAAAACCTGGAAGCGGACTGTTTACTATGCAGAGCTGCACTAGATTCTGTGTGCTCCGCTTTTAGTAAATCTCCCCCTATGTGTCTGCAGGGATTTCAGCATGTAGACCAAGAAAGAAAAACAGGTGAAAAAGGGCCAAAGTTAAAAAGAGTGAGGGAATATCTCTACTGAAACCAACTTATCTCCTTGAACCGGATGATTTCAAGGAACAATTTAATTGGTTGTTAGCAGGAAATAAAACAGTTCTCCCTTTCTGATGCTCTGATACAAAACACTGCTAATCCAAAAAATCCACAAAATATCCAAAAAAAAGATATGAAAGGTAAAGATTTCCTTTTTTTCCTAAAAAGATATTTCATAATAATCTCTTCCCTATCTCATCCCTCGGTTTCTTCTTCTCCTCCTACCTCCTTTCTGTCTCTCTGCTAGGCACTGTTGAAAATCAGGTGTCAATGAAAATAAATAATTATGTTTTTTGCCAAATGAGTTTGGTATTGGAATACACAGCACCTGAAGGAGCTGAGGAACCCAATATCCAGAGTGTCACTCACCCTTGCAATAAACTCTACTTACCTTACCGAAGTTGTCTTGGTGTCGCTTATAATCTTGAGTAGCTTCCTGTAAGAGGAATAGTAAATGAGTCAAATGGTTATGACAGGCTGGGTATAATAAATTGACAAGGTAGGACTATTTCCACTCTCCATAGAGATGAACTCTAAGCAGATGTAAAAGGCACAACTTGAAGCAGCTCTGAATTCATGAACACAGTTATGGTGGAGTGCTCATGTGCTAACCAGGGACATGCTGATAAGAAAAGAGAGCTAAGGGACAGATAGATGAATTCATTTGTTGGCTGCTTCTCCTTCCTTTCACTGTCCAGTCACAGGCTGGGGGTGGGACAAGACCCCACTCCACCCTCTCTCATCCCAGTAGAGAAAAATTGTACATTCTGTCCTGCTAGACAGGGATGTGCTGTGCAGCAGAGCTGTGTAAATCTCAAGACTGAATGGACAGAAATACAAATCTTCTGACATGTAAAAATATACTGTATGTCTTTAATCGGTGTTTAAATATGTTTGCCTGGAATTCAGCTGTAAAGTTCATCATGGACATTATATATAATTGTTTCATACAATTATTTCATACTCCCATCAAATCCGAGATGAATCAACCCATAAATTGTAGTTTTCAATCCCTTCTGATTAGTTTTTCCAGCCATGATTGTAAAAAAATAAAAAACTCTGATCATTTTTATAGGATCTACTAACTGCCTCCATCGGACCACCTTACTACTGTTCTGATGGAAGACCCAAAGCTATTAACTATTGCAGGGCCAGAAGTTCAGAGCCAGGAAGAGGACAGGCATCCCTGCAGAGAAGATTTCTAAAGGATCCAGATGCCTGCACAAGTGGGACATCCTTCATTACAAGTATGTGATGTAACTGCACCTGTAGGGATTTTTTTTTTAATAGTTAAACTTCAGTTTTAGTTTTTTTAATTTGATGCTTATAATTGTTATTTCCATTCCAATGCTTCGTGGGAGAGCTGGGTGCTCAAAATCCCACGAGAATGCAATCCAGCCCCTAGCTGGGGCATGTTCTACCACTATTTTGAGCGTCCAGCTATTTTAAAGGGAGGACCACACTTGCGCCTCCCTGAAATGTCTTATAGTGGGCCAAGGTATTTCTTTTTTACTGATACAATTTTCAATAGCCTTTAAGTTTATTTATTTCAGGTACTTATAAAGCGCCATCAATTTACACAGCACTTTACATATATATATTATACATTCACATCAGTCCCTAACCCTCTAGGGGCATACAATCTAAGGTCCCTAACTTACATTCATATACAAGGGCCAATTTAGACAGGATCCAATTAAACTACCAGCATGTCTTTTGGACAGTGGGAGGAAACCTGAGTACCCGGAGGAAACCCACGCAGGCACAGGGAGAACATGCAAACTCCAGGCAGGAGGTGCTGTGGCTGGGATTCGAACCAACGAACCTAGTACTGCCAGCTGCAAGTGCTATCCATTTAGCCACTGTGCAAGTTTATTTATATTTGGAGGATGGACGGCTGTGAGTAAAGCAGAACTTTCATTTTCATGGAAGATCGGTTTTTAAAGCCCAACTCCAGGTTGCTTTTGTATGTAATGAGCAATTAACCCATGTAGTGCAGGGAGGGGACCCAAATGCAAAGGTACATCTAAAAACAGCCTGGATTTGAACCGTAAGGTAAAAATATGATTCTATATTTCAGTTGAGTTTCAATACACAAGGCACTGTGATATCTATGCAAGGTCTTCCTCTGTATCTGAGTGTGTTATAAAAAAGAAGGAGAAGCAGAAACTCAGGAATGTGCTCACAATCCCAGAGACCCGCATTTATGTCACCCACCCAGCGGGCCCAGTACTTACCACACTGTGATGGGCCTTTGTCATGAGCAGCATCCGGCCTACTAGGTCTGTGGTGGACACCCCTTGAGTGCGCTGGCATTCCCTAGACAACATAAACCATGACTGGTCAACACTTCTCATACAACCTTCTATCCAATTAAATCCCTAGACTGCTACTAACCTGTATCGCTGAGCATTCTTCACCTCCTCATAGGTATCCTTACCATCCACCGTCAGTGTAATGTCATCTGCAATGCAAGGCAATGGCATGAAATATTATACAGTCATTCAGCCCGATAGAAGAAAAGTTAAAATAAAATGTATGTAAAACCTAAAAATGTGCTTTTATTATTTGCTACCTTTTTGGTCTGTTAAATATACCATTAAAAGTGTTTTGTTATATCTGTTCAATAAGTGCAAACAAATACCTGTTGATTCGGCCAGAAATTCAGAGCTGTCCTGTGAATACTTCCTGTGTTAGCTCAGAGTCTAATTAGCTTTCTAGTTCTTATCTTTAAAGGAGATGTATGGCCAAAGCTCTTCTGCACTCCTGTGACCCAGATTCAACCGACAGTGGACTAAAGCTCACTGTCGGCTGATACCACACAGCCAGTACAGGCTCTGCAGGGATCCCTACAATAATGTCGGGATGCACCCAGGTACTTGATTGGCAGCTGGCTCAGCTTCTCAGCATGTCACTGAGAGCCTGAGCCAGCTGCTCCCACCCCCTCCACGGTGCTCCAGTGAGCATTGGTGAGGCAGACCACAGACCGGATACAAGAACTGAGCGATCAGCAGTCTTTGATCACTCAGTTCTCAGTGTAGACAGGGGGACAGCTGCAGCCATCTAGGTAAGTATGTATGTTTGTTATTTTGGAATCCTGCACTTCAATTTTAAAGCTGAACTCCAAGAATTTAGCCACTTTGTAAAATGTGCTGGCATAGTAGGAGTTAAGTCTAACCAGGTGCATGCCACATCGTGGACTTATCTATTTAATTTATATCTGATGGTTTTATGGAGCTCCAGGAATGCAGCTATCACTACACTCCCTGTGTTTTCATACACAGCATCTCTGCCAGCCCCTGCCCTGTGCTGTTCATTCACAGGAGCCTTTGTATTCTTTGAGTGAGTTTACATAATACAAGGTGCTCTGTGACTGGACAGGAGGAGGGCAGGGGTAGACACAGTGGCTGCATGCAGCCTCAGGAGTTGAGACCAGAAAGTCTAGTGTCAGAGTGCCCGCAGCATATTGATAGCTATGCTCCTGGCACTCAGAAAAAATGTAAACTGTACAATAAAGAAGTCCATGAGGTGGCATGCACCTTGTTAAACTTAACCCCAACTAATATAGCACATTTTACAAAGTAGCTGAATTTCTGCAGTTCAGCTTCAGCTACAGAATAATTACTATTTATGATGAAGAAATGAGGAGGGTGAGAGGGTTTGAGTAGTTTAGCAAAAGACTACTGGGAAAGGCTGACACCACTCAGTCCACAAAATCCTGTCTGTTGTTAGTCCACAACAGGACTTGGGACCTGAGAGCATTTCTGGCAGATCAGTAGGTATTTTTCTGTACTTGCAAGATTTTATAGAGATAAAACCTGGGGGAATGTGCATGCATTGTGCACTGACAGGGACTTTAACCAAGGAAATATGACAATCACACTTTATGAACTTGTGAGATATCCAATTCCATAACAATGGGTATTTATACAGAGTTGGTCCCCCTCTCCACTCTTCTGGAAAGGCTTTCCCCAACATTGTGTCTGTAGGAATCTGTGCCCATTCAGCCAAAAGACCATTTGTGAGGTCAGGTACTAATGTTGGAGGAAAAGACCAGGCGTGAAAAAGGAGTTCCAATTCATTCCAAAGGTGTTCAGCAAGGGTGAGGTCTGGGCTCAGTGCAGGCCATTCAAGTTTCTCCATATGAAACTGGTCAAACCATGTCTTTATGGAGCTGGCTTTGTGCACCTGAAAACAATATTTTGATGGATAGTCCACATAATTTTAGCTTTATTGTGTGCATTTCCTGCCAAAACTGTTTTATTGTGTGCATTTCCTGCCAAAACTGTTTTATTGTGTGCACTTCCTGCAAAAGCCTCTCTTTATTTAATTTTTTTTAAAAGGGGAAGGACTGCAACCTCTGTCATGATTTTACTCTGATATCCTGGGGAAATTTCTATTTATTTCCTGTTGTGTCCCCGAAACAAAAAGTGAGAAGAATATCTCCATTGCTGACACAGAAATGAAAGAACTGAAATTGGTAGAGTAGAGCAGGGTTACAACCTCTGCTGGATTTTTATTGTCGGTTGTGTCTACTTCTTGTATTCCTGAAACACGAAGAAGCAGAAAACAGGGACACATACAGCAAAAAAAAAAAAAAAAAAAACCTAACAGAGGTTCTAAATTTGGCTCAGTTCCAATCATTTTCTAAATTTACTGCTAAAAATGCACAGTAAAATCACACAAAAAGAATAGTAGCTGTTTAATACTCACACAGTAATAATAATAATAGTAATTTTAAGAAGGCAGTGCAGTAATTGACACTGACCAATCAGAATTCACCTTTCATTCTTCAGGCTGCTAAAGAGTAAAGTCTGATTGGTTCCTTCGGGTTACTGCACTTTGCACATCACTCCCCTTTGCCTTGTTTTTATTATACAATGTGTTTTGTATAATGTATTACACTGTGTGTTTTGCAGGGACTGTCATGGTCAGTACTGGAGTAATCTACTCACTTCCGTGGACACAGAAGTCACAGTTATATTTGTCCAGGGTGTCCAGTGTGGTCACGTAGGGGGCTCCAGGCACAATCTCATCCACCCACTTAATGGCACGCACCATCTTGTACCGCTCTTCTTGGGTGAAGACTGGCGGCCCTTTGTGACGGGATATTTCTTCTGAAGAAAGATGAAAAATATTGTTTTATTATTATGAACTAGCAAAATTGGATCTGTTCCAGGACAGGAAAGGTTGGGGATATAACAAACATGGCTAAAGAAGTGTCTTATGGCACTATGTGCACGAAAAGAGAGTAGAGGGTGTGACAGAGGACAGAAGGGGCAGGAGAAGAGTGCAGGGGGTATGCCAATGGCCAGTATGTACAGAAGTGAAGTATGGAGGGTATGACAGAGGCCAGTATATACAGGAGTGGAGTATGGAAGGTATGACAGAGGCCAGTATGTACAGGAGTGGAGTATGGAGGGTATGACAATGAGCAGTATGTACAGGAGTGGAGTCTGGAGGGTATGACGGAGGCCAGTATGTATAGGAATGGAGTATGGAGGGTATGACAATGAGCAGTATGTACAGGAGTGGAGTCTGGAGGGTATGACAGAGGCCAGTATGTACAGGAGTGGAGTATGGAGGGTATGACAATGAGCAGTATGTACAGGAGTGAAGTATGGAGGGTATGACAGAGGCCAGTATGTACAGGAGTGGAGTATGGAAGGTATGACAGAGGCCAGTATGTACAGGAGTGGAGTATGGAGGGTATGACAATGAGCAGTATGTACAGGAGTGGAGTCTGGAGGGTATGACAGAGGCCAGTATGTATAGGAATGGAGTATGGAGGGTATGACAATGAGCAGTATGTACAGGAGTGGAGTCTGGAGGGTATGACAGAGGCCAGTATGTACAGGAGTGGAGTATGGAGAGTATGACAATAAACAGTATGTACAGGAGTGGAGTATGGAGGGTATGACGATGGCAGTATGTAACGGAGTGGACTATGGTGGGTATGACAGAGGCCAGTATGTACAGGAGTGGAGTATGGAGAGTATGACAATAAACAGTATGTACAGGAGTGGAGTATGGAGGGTATGACGATGGGCAGTATGTAAAGGAGTGGACTATGGTGGGTATGACAGAGCCAGTATGTACAGGAGCGGAGTATGGCGGGTAAGACAATGAGCAGTATGTACAGGAGTGGAGTATGGAGGGTATGACAGTGACCAGTATGTACAGGATTGGAGTATGGAGGGTATGAGGATGGGCAGTATGTAAAGGAGTGGACTATGGTGGATATGACAGAGCCAGTATGTACAGGAGTGGAATATGGAGGGTATGACAGAGCCAGTATGTACAGGAGTGGAGTATGGAGAGTATGACAGAGGCCAGTATGTACAGGAGTGGAGTATGGAGAGTATGACGATGGGCAGTATGTACAGGAGTGGCGTATGGAGGGTATGACAGAGCCAGTATGTACAAGAGTGAAGTATGGCGGGTATGACAATGAGCAGTACGTACAGGAGTGGAGTATGGAGGGTATGAGGATGAGCAGTATGTACAGGAGTGGAGTATGGCGGGTATGACAATGAGCAGTACGTACAGGAGTGGAGTATGGAGGGTATGAGGATGAGCAGTATGTACAGGAGTGGAGTATGGCAGGCATGACAATGAGCAGTATGTACAGGAGTGGAATGTGGAGGGTATGAGGATGGGCAGTATGTACAGGAGTGGAGTATGGAGAGTATGACAGAGGCCAGTACGTACAGGAGTGGAGTATGGAGGATATGACGGAGGCCAGTACGTACAGAAGTGGAGTATGGAGGGTATGACAATGAGCAGTACGTACAGGAGTGGAGTATGGAGGATATGACGGAGGCTTGTATGTACAGAAGTGGAGTATGGAGGGTATGACGGAGGCCAGTACGTACAGGAGTGGAGTATGGAGGATATGACGGAGGCCAGTATGTACAGGAGTGGAGTATGGAGGATATGACGGCGGCTTGTATGTACAGAAGTGGAGTATGGAGGGTATGATGAAAAAAATTTTGAAAACTAATAAGCTACAATATATTATCTTTTTTTTTTTTTTTTTTCTGCACCTTTGTTACTTTTTTCATTTTATGTTTTACTTGATCTTAAAAGCCCAAGTAGACTAGAACTTACGCTTTTGAAAGCTGAAGATGTAGAGCACCTCCATAACTCCATGACAAGTGGTGCAAGAGACATGACCACTACCCTCTCTCTTCTCTTGCATGGCTGCATTCCGGCAGATCAAAGGCTGGGGGGGGGGGGTCACAAGCATGCACTGAGCACAGCGATCTCAACACTTACCATCTGTGTGCACACCAACGATCAAGTAATCCCCCATGGCCCGTGCCTGACGGAGTTGGTTGGAATGTCCATAATGAACCATGTCATAGCTGAAGAACAAAAGAAAGAGAAGAATGTCATTGAGATACCCACACAAAAGCCCAGCTAGGACAGTTCAACAGAGAATGGCTGGCAGCTATAGCGGGGGTATGGAAGCACACAATGATCCCACTGACTTCTGCTGGAGTGGAATAATTTTAAATACTCATGTGAATTAAACTCAGTGCAACAAGATCATTCATTTCATCCAGAACCGGAAATAAACTAATCTTACCCTAACCTTCGGTTCACATCTGTGAGAGTGGTGCCGCTACGGGATCCGCACAAATACCTGTAGCAGCACCACCAACACAGAGGAATACGGGACTCGTGGGTGGGTGCCATTAATTCTAATGGAACGCTGCCCGCACTGGAAATCACAACCATACTGGGAGCCACAGTTCCCGTGCGGACTGCGATTTCCAAAGTAGTGCAGGAACTTCTTCTTTGCATATCCCGGGGCACGAGAGTCCATTCAAATGAATGGAGCTCTCGTGCCCGTGCAAATCACGGCCCGCAGAGAAGTGAACCAGGGCTTAAAGAGACCCTGTTACCATTAATTTCAAAAAACAATCTTACCATAAGATTATATGAGCATTTAGTGTTTTTTATACATGGTGTTTAACCCCTTGGTGTCGACGCCTCCCGGCCCTTTAAGGGTTCCAGAAGACAGGAGGCGGGGCAGGGTTTTAGGGTCATGTTACCACCATGATTCGCTGTCACATGATCGGGAAAGGTCCCGATCGAAGGAGATCGGGACCTTTCCGTGAGTACCGAACGTGTGTGCGCTCTCAGCACGTGTTTTTTTTAATAGAACGGAAACGTGCGGCCCAGATGCCGGGAGGCCGCATATTTGCATTCGGCCGGCGCCGAGGTTAAACGTTAAAGGCCTCCTTGTGCAGACATCTAAAAACCCTGAGATTGTTGTTAGGCGCAATGTCAGCAACCCCAGCAGATTCAGAGCTGTCACTCAAGTGCACTCTATATTGTTCCCTTCAGTCCTTTCCTGGCAGCTATATAAAAGGTTATGTAAAGAAGGGGCAGAGGAGCTGGGCCAGCACAGACAGTAATTAGACACTCCTAGAAAGAGGAGAGGGCTATGATGTGACAATAGGGAGGAGTTGTAGCTGTGCTAGGGAACTGACTCTTCCTGTAGTAGTCATATTTTCTTGCAGGTTCTTAAGCACATTGAAAGCGAATATTTTCATCAATGGTAGCAAAAACACCTTTTCTGAAAAGGTGACACTTGAAGCGTATCAATGGAATTTCAATAATTGCTTTTAATCTTTCTAAACATGCAGCTTTTTTGTAAGGCTCTGTTCACACCTGTGCGTTTTATGTGCATTTTAGATGCAGTGCGATAAAAAAAGGTTTTTTTAATACTTTTGCATGCTGCATCTTTGATGCGCTTTCAGATGTGAGCCAGTCCTAAAGAGTCCCTGGTGATCCTGCCATGCAGTTTCCTGTTCAGGCATTTCCTGTTGTGCGGTGACAACTGTCTGTAACCCAAATGTTTACCATACTTGCCACCAACTTCTGTGACCAAGCGGAGCGAAACACGTCAAGGGCGGAGTAGCGGCTGAGGCCATCCTATACATCGGATTCGTTGCGCTGGTTTGAGCGGCGTCCGTTTTCTCAATAGTAGTCAGCTTGTCACGCACTCTCCCAATATGGATGAAAAGCCAACACCCATTGAACAGGCATGACTGACGATCGTCACCATTGCCAAGAAGTTGAAAATTTGAAAACCACTGGTTTTTTGGAGCTGTACAACTGGATGTTTAGGCCTCATTCATATTGGGCGTACAATACCGTACGCCAGTGCAGGGCTGTGCTTACCCGCAGTTTTCCGTGCATGCCCATTCATGTTTACTGGGTCACAGTAGCTACACAGACACAGCTGCTGTGTCCCAATATGACAGCCGTGTAGGTGCGGGTCCCTTAAACTCACACTGTCTGCGTTCAGGGACCCACACTGACATCATATTGGGACACAGCGGCTATGTCTGCGTGGCCACTGCGTCCCAATAGCACTCAATGGGACTGCCTGCATGGGCATGCATAGAACATCTTGCACAAGCGCACTGTATTATACGCCACATAGGAACAAGGCCTTAGCTTGAGTTTTGCAGGAAAAAAATAAAACAGCGAACATACATGGAACCATCTAAAGAAAATGCTTGTAGGGTCCCATCCTCAGGTTGGTACCTCAATATGAATGTGTGCGTATGTCTTTTAGAATTTCATGTGCACAGTTGCCCATTCAGAGTAAGGCCCCTTTCACACGGGCGTTCCATATGTCCGTTTTTCATCTCTCCGTTCACGGATGAAAAACGGACACCCATGTATTTCTATGGACTAGCGTATGTAAACAGATGATCATCCGTTAATGTCCGTATCCGTTAACATCCGTTTTTTTTTTGAACGGAAGAAAAACGGAACAGATGAAAAAGGATGTAAACAGACAAAAAACGGATGTAAACGGATGAAAATGAACAAAGATGGAATAAAAAAAAGGATATAAACACAAAGACGGATGCAAAAGGACAAAAACTGATGTAAACGGATGAAAAAAAAACGGATGTAAATGGATGAAAATGGACAAAAATGTATAAAAAAAGGATGTACACACATAAACGGATGTATACGGATGCAAATGGATATAAACAGATGAAAAATGGATGTAAACGGATGAAAATGGACAAAAATGGATTAAAAAAACAGATGTAAACACAAAAACGGATATACACGGATCTAAACGGACGAAACTGATGTAAACCGACGAAAACGTATGTAAACAGGAGCAAAACTGATGTAAACAGGTGCAAAACTGGATGTAAAAACAAAAGCGGATGTAAATGGATGAAAACTGATGTAAATGAATGAAAATGGACAAAAACATATAAAAAACGGATGTAAACACAAAAACTAATGTAAACGGATGAAAAATGGATGGAAACGGATGAAAATGGACAAAAACTGATAAAAAAAGGATGTAAACACATAAATGGATGTATACGGATACAAATGGATATAAACAGATGAAAAATGGATGTAAACGGATGAAAATGGACAAAAATGGATAAAAAAACAGATGTAAACACAAAAAACGGATATACACGGATATAAACGGACGAAACTGATGTAAACCGACGAAAACGTATGTAAACAGGTGCAAAACTGATGTAAACAGATGGAAAAAAAATGTAAACTGATGAAAAATGGATAAAAAACTGATGTAAACTGACATGAACTGCTAAAAAACTGATGTGAACTGATCTGTTTTTTGTGGAAAAAACGTGACTGAATTAATGAAAAAAAACGGAACGCCCGTGGGAAAGGGGCCTAAAGGCGTTGCGTATTTCTGGAACCTCGAATGTCCAGGAGCTGTATACAGCCATGAATGTGGGAAGGCGGCTATACGCAGCTATACACTATAAAATAGTGCCTGCACACTGCCTGCGTTTGGGGAATTCCAGCTGTGTGCGTGCCGTACTTTACATCGCTGCATCCAGTAGCATTCACCCAATCATGTTTATCGGTGGTATACGCAGCTCCAGGACATCCGCTGATCTAACAGACCCCCCTTTTCACATGCATACTGATGCCGATGCCCGCAGTCTCCGGGGATCGTTTACATTCCGATCCGCAAGTCTTCCGATTTCCGTTTCAGGCCTGTGCACTAGAATCCGATAGAAGTCTATGGGGACCGTCTCCCTGCGTCTATGGGCAGGAGGTGGAGGTTGATGAGCCCCATAGGCTTCATTGCGCACACAGACAGAGGACTTCAATCCCTGGTCACGGGTGTCAGTTCTCGGTAAGTATGCATCTGCAGAGGAGGAAAGTGGGATCTGTTAGGTCAGCAAAGTGATTTCTTCTTTAGGTCTTATGCACACTAGACATTTGCTCCTGATGCATGGGGTACCTTGGTGTAGGTGTGGGCGGAAGGCACAAGCGCACTGCCCAGCCCCGTTCCCGGCTGCCTGTAAAAGTCTATGAGAGGCTGACAGCTGCTGTGGCTGGACGGTGCACTGAGCGATACTAATGTTTTGGGCAGTATGCGCCCGGGGATGACAAGACTGCTTGTGTGGAGAACATTCGGCCCCGCAGGCATAGTGCCCAGTACTGCTCAGTTCACCGCCCCACTCCAACCGCAGCAGCTTTCAGCCCCAGCCAGGCTGAACTGTGTGCCTGTGCCTTCTGCCCACACCTAAACACCGGAACCGCATAAACTGGGGCTGCACATTCAGTGTGCATGAGGCCTAAAGAATAAGGCCCTTTTCACACGGGCGTTCCACATGTCCATTTTTCATCTGTCCGTTTACGGATGAAAAACGGACACCCATGTATTCCTATGGACTAGCGGATGTAAACAGGTAATCATCTGCTCGCATCAGTAAACATCCATTTTTTTGAACAGAACAAAATGCTATTTTTCTTCTGTAAAGAAAAACAAAAAACAGACTGGACGAAAAATGGATGTAAACGGATCATAACAGATGAAAAAAATGGATGTAAATGGATAAAAAAAATCAGATGTAAATGGATGAAAAAAAATGGATGTAAAACGTATCTTAATGGATCATGAATGGATGAAAAAGCTGGATGTAAACATTTCAAAAATGTGTGAAAAAACAGATGTAAACGGCTCAAACACGGATGAAAAAAACAGATGTAAACGTATGTACACGGATCAAAAACGGATATGAAAACAGAGGTAAAAAGTGAAGTCTTGATCCGTTTAGCTCCAATTTTGGAAAATAATCGTGATGAACTGATAGAAAAAAAGTGGAACACCTGTGTGAAAGGACCCTTACCCCTTTGCGGCGTCGCCTCCTGGCCCTTTAAGAGTTTCAGCAGCCGGGAGACAATGCAGGGTTTTAGGGTCATGTGACCGCCATGATTCGCCGTTACAGCAGTCACATGATCGGAAAAAGTCCCGATCGCAAGGGTAGATCGGGACCTATCCATGAGTCACGGACATATGTGTTGGGAGCGCACTCTCAGCAGA